AGGGTTTGTTGATTTTTTTTCACTTTATCAAGATAAATATGTTTTAGAATGAAAAAGGCACGGTCTTGAAGTAGTCTACCGCTTACTAAAACATTCATAATAAATCGTACTGTATGCAATGTCATACTACTTAGAAATGTGCATTTGCTAATATTCTTATACATGGTGCCGAAAACATCGAGCTCAGACTGATCCTGGATGGTAATTTCCATTTTCGCCGAATTCCAACTTCACCGAAAGAATTTTTCGCTGACGGAGACATTGGAATGAGTGCACATGTGGGTGTAGGTGTAAGTGTGGGTGTAGGTATACGTGTGAGTGCGTGTGTGGGTGTGGGTGTGGTTCAGGGTCATTAAATGAGCAAAAAATTCTTTCGGAGAAGTTGGAATTCGGCGAAAATCGTCACCGGCGAAAATGGACTAATTCAGCCACAGCCACACCCCACCGTTCTAACAAAACTATGTAAACATGAAAATATTTCAATTGGCTTTTTCTTCTTCGACAGTCGAGCAGAATAAGTAAGTATTGAATTATTTTATTGACAGTGAATGAATTACCTCGGATTTGAAAGCTTTCTATGTAAACATATTCCGCAGAAATTGTTTTGATGCCGTAGCTATATATGACATGCGTATGGATACTCATCTGTCTGCATGCTATAAATAAAGCCAAATTTTTGTTGGCACTGTTTTCATTCTTCATTTTTATTGAACTGTTTGAATTGTTTTTCATAAAAGTTATATTGTTCGCAGATTAATAAGGTTTGGGATCTGGACATGAAGAATAGTCACGCAACATTCTTTACAAACAAAAAAATTTTATTCCTTGTTGTTGATCATGGCAAACTTATACCCAGAAGAGCGTTCCGTGCATGATTATTATTTATCTAACTTACAACATAAGAAACTATCAGCATTGTTAATAATGCAGTGTGCAGCCATGAAAATATTTGATTAGGTAATAATTAGTACCTTTTTTATTAATTAAGTTTTAGATAGTATTGCTGAAACGGTTGTTTTCGTCAATATTTACATATATTATTTCAAGCAAACAATGTCGAATAATTCATGTTGGCCAAGTTCTCAAAGCTGGAAACGTTATTGGCCGACGCGTATCGTTGCTGTAATTGGAGTCGTTCAAACATTGTTTTCCTTCGCTGTTGTCACACTTCATGTTGCCATTGTTTTAATTGGTATAGCTAGTCTTTGCAGTAATTATCTAGCATGGTATGTTATGGGCTTTGTTTGCTGGGCCTTTTTTTTGACCAGCTGGATATCGGTCTTCTGCGTCAGTGAGTATTTTATTTCTTATTCTAATAATTAGACTGACAGATTTATTGAAGTAATTCTGTACATTCAACAATATGAGTAAAGAGGATGATACACGAAAACAAGTTCAATTCATAATAGTTTAATATACGGGTTTCCATATTCTGAGAATCTCTAAAGTAGGAATTAATGATAAAAACGTTAGAATTTAGACGTAAGTTGAAACATTCTTAAATGAATTCAGGCGCAAAGCCGAAAAGATAGTCTACACAAAGCGGAAGCATATTTAAGTTTAATATTGTAAAGCATTCTCTTACAAGTGTTTATTTTTTTATCGAGATACACAAATTAAAAGAGATAAAGAGCTGCACTTGATAAATAAACCAATGTTATTATTGATTCAACGTTATTTCTAGATTTTAGTTTTAATACCAATCGTCATAATAAGAGAGCTTTCCTTGTATGAAGAAAAAAATTATCAGAATCGAAAAACATACTCAATCAAATATTTCGGGAATCATTGACAAATATTCTTGTATTTGTCGTAGATATTCAATTCAGAGCGTTTNGTAAGTATAAATCCAAACGATAAAGAGTTAGGGACAGTATTTTTGATTATATCAGTTAAAATATTCGACTAAATTATTGGTTGGGATGCATCAGTATCAGTATACTGGGTATTGGTAATACTGGTAAACCAGTAATACTGGTGATCAGTAATACTGGTTCACCAGTATACTGGTTTACCAATATTACCAGTACCCAGTATACTGGTACTGGTGCATCCCTAGCATCAGTCAAAGTTACTATTATTACTACCTATATACATAATCATTTGACCCACACCCCCAAAAAACAATGTTGCTCTATGCAGTTCTTTTATTTTCCAACTTTTGTTACTTATTTTTGATTCATATGGAGTTTTAAAGTTATAGACCAATTAGCTGCAGACACTAACGACAATTTTCTCTGGAGGATAGAAAGTTCTAGTAGTTTTTCTGTGCTCTAGAAAGATACTCAGATAGTGAAATCGAGTTTTATTTTCTTAAATAATCTATATGAATTCACTGTCGGCATAGATTTTTTCATTACAAAATGAAAACTTGAACAACTATTTCAATTGAATATCGTATTTCCAAAAAAGTTGAAGACGGCTCAAGAATCTGTATGGATATCTCTAGAATACCTTTCTTTATTCTTTATGATGCATCTTTAGTTTACAGTTTAAGTAAAAGTTTTCATCTTCGTTTGGCTTTTAACTGCTTTACTCTCAGAAGAAGCTATAATAACGCTTTCGACTCTCAAATGTTTCCAATTTCTTTCTTCCACCGAAGATATTTATTAGACCCTGATTGACTTAATAAATACATGGATGGTACAATTTCTGTGTACTTTCGTTAGAATACTCTCAATTCAAGAATGTAATAATGCGTAAATCTTTCTGAAAAAATGTCTCTCACCTCAAATAATTGAACGAGCTCCTCGTCGGTAATCGGCACCACTTTCGATTCGTCGCTTCTCTAACAGCATTACATATTCCAGTACGAAAAACGAAGGCGCTTTTAATCGTATTCTACAACGATTGACACAAAAACATTTCTATCAATCAAACTTCAGATTCGATGGTTTGACATTTATAAATCACTGAAAAGTTACATCGAAACCCTTCAAAGCCAAAAAATCGTATATTTCGTTTCTGATTGATAGATTTTGTGACCAATGAGAGGCCGAATGAAAAAAGCAAATGCCAAATTGACTCTTCCTCACCCCCAATAACATTTAGAAAAGTTTCACCGAAGTATCAAAAAAGGCGACAAATAAGAAAGCTCGTTTCTGATTGGTTTGGACGGACAGACTGACAGACAAACATACATACATTTTCCAAATCTAAGACCCTTTTCGTCAGAAAAAGGAATTACTCAATTCGATTCTTCTGCATATATATCTTTTTTTCTCAACTCTTCGTTTTCGTTCTTTTCTTTTTTTGCTGTTATCTTATTTTCTTCTCTTTTCATCTTGTCTTATGGCATCATTAATTCAAACTTCTATATTCTATTCTAACAGACGTTTCACCACAGCTGAAAAAAAGTACATTAATGCAATATTTCTGCAAACTCCGTATCTGACGGACACTGAATTCGATCAAATTTCGAATGACATCGGCTGTTCTATACTTACATTGAATGTAAAATAGTCATAGGTTTTTTTATTCTTTTCTCATATTTCTTTTTATCTGTAGAGAAAATTCAGCAACTTGCAGCATATAGCAAAGAAAACAATCACTATTTCATTAGTCACTCCGTCGATTACAACAGCCACTGTTGCACAATCGCCTTCAATACAACAAGAGTTCGTCAGGTGGCTTTCTCGACGCAAGGCAAAAGCATAAACAACTGAAATCATTTGTAAAAAAATCTGCTCACGACGGATAAATGAGAGTCATATTGATAGCTCGGTCACTGTAGCTAAACTAGGCATATGTACAAGCATCGGACCACATAATGGCGAGTAATTTTGTGATGAGCCTTTTCTTTAGATTCTTTCTGTGTCTTTTCTAATAGGTGTATTTTTTGTCGATTGGATGAAGTATCTCATCAGAGCCAAGCATTTCATGGAGAAACCCACGAATCACTCGCGTATACAGATTTCCAACAACAGTAATTATTGGCCGTCAATATAAAAGGCATGTGCCAAGTTTTGTTCATTGAAGTCGATCAAACTGATAGACTACTTATACATCCACCATGTGGTTTGCGGTCTTCTCTACCATCGCTTCCAGTGCTCTTCGCTAGAATTGGAACATTACAGGGTGAGTTTACTGATATCATGGCGAATATCAGTGTTACAGTCTTATCGAAGACGTTGATGACTATATTCGTCTTTTTTAAGAAGAAAACACGCGAGTATTTATACAAAGGAAAAGGTGGTCAATTTCCACCTGCGTAGAATAATACAATTGGAAAAAAAGGTGAGTTTGTATTCTTTCTTTCTATTTGGGTGTGGGTGTGAGTATGTTAAAAAAACAGACTAAATCGCACCCACACCCACACCCTACATTTAATACGAAAAACGGGGATAACCTCTGCATAACCGAAGGAGAGCTCACATGGAAAACAAAAAAGCTTAGTTAAAGTAAATAAAGATATAATGAAACAGTTTTAACAATGGTAATATTAATACGTGAGATAATAACAATTAAATGTATAGAAAACTCAATAAATGAGGAAATCAACGATGTAATAACCGATAATCAATCATGAGTCGGTTATAATCGAGAAATTACGTAACAAATAAAAAAGGATAAAAGAAACAATAACATATACAGAAACGCTTAGCGTCAATGAACGCCATCTATTGACGCTAACAACACCCACACCCACCCACACCCTTCTTTTCTGGAAACTCGTTTCCTTTTCTGAAAATTCGTGCAAGGCATCATATGTCCGACTCCGTCGGAGTTAGGTATTCGAAGTCCTCTGCAGACCACTACCAAGTAGCCTTCAAAAAGTTATAGGTACCTTCTTAACTCAGATCCACCACTTTAGTTCCTATCAAAGAGCGTCTTCAACAGTTCATCAGATCGTGACTTTTACCGAACTGTCACACACCTATTCATCATCAACAATAACAACAAGATAAAAGTTGAGTTTTTTTAATCTTTTGTAATGAATAAAAAGTGAGACAAAGATTAGGTCTCAGCATTTGTTCGTTTTTTATGAAACAAGCAAAGGTGAGGTAAGTGAGAAAGATAAGAAGCTGGTTAGGCTTCACGAAGGGACCTTCGAGAAATACACATTGTATTCTCGTGAAATGGTGAAATGTCGACGTTTTGATCACAGATAGAATCCAAGTATTTGTTAGTCTTCTTGAAAATTCATCTGATTTAATCGCAATCTTTAATTGCAATGTATGAACAAATGCAGAGGTCGCAAAGTACGAACAAACAAGAGGTTTACTGTAAAGATAGGGCCTGAGAATGAGAGTTTGAAAAGTTTTTTTTAACAAATATTTGTAGCACATCTTAGTAGACGTTTTTCACTGTCTACTAATAGTTTAATCTCTTGTTGTGAATGTTCCAATTCTAGGATGAACGAAATAGCCTATTTTGGCACAAAAAACTATGTGTCATTTTGTGCGTTTTTTTTAGAAATGATGATTGTCTATCTGTGGTTGTTACTGTCAATAATAATAAGTCCGTGTTCAATGCTGCAATGTTATGAGTGTGAACCAAAAAATTACAATTTTCTTATAACACCCGATAATGTTCCCTCGACATTCAATTGTACAACAATTGTTACATCAAATAAATTTTGTTCATTGGATATTTGGACAACTGATAATGGAACAAAGAGTGCTCTTCGTGTAAATGCATATGATAATCCCGAAAATAAAAATGTTCCCTATGTTTTGACTGGATTTACTCAACATAATAGTGGAAATTTTTCTACGTACATTTTGTATCATTGTATAACAGATAATTGTAATAATCCTCAACTCGTTCTTAAACGTTTGATTGAATCAACAAAAACTGAAATCAAACCACCTAGTAGATCATCTAATGGCCAATTAAAATCGTCAGCTTCTATCCAATGTTTTGTCTATTCAAATTTTACAAATTCAAGTGAATGCAAACCAGCACGTCAAATAACAACAACAACAGAACAAGACGATTGTTCATTTTGTGCAACATTTATTAATATTGATCCAAACAATTTACTCACAGAAAGAGTATGTTCATACTGTGAAAAATCTATAGTAGCGATTGAAAAATGGAAATATATTGATGGAAGAATTCATTTATTAAATGATCGTGTTAGTTATTTAGAATATGTATCCTATATTTGCAATACCAGCAGCGAGTGCAACTCGTTGGAGAACATACGACAAATACAACAAAGATACAAAATAGAATTTGATTTTGATATATTTTTTGGTTCAAATGATACGACAACAATGATGACCACAACTGCAAAGGGTACGATGATGACGACGAGGATGACTACAACCACAAATGCTACGACGATGATGACTACAACCATAAATGCTACGACGATGATGATTACGACCGGCAGTCTACAATACATCATCTATTTTTTGATTATTTTCCTAATCTTTCGTGAATAATAAACACTACATACACGAAAGTGTCATAATAAATCTGACATAACCTTGCTGACTTCATTTGTATGAATGCAAATTAAAGCTTTGTTTTACTGTAAATGTTCAATCATTTTTGGGTGTGAGTGTGAGTGTGGGTGGTTTGGGTGTGAGTGGGTGTGGGTGTGAGTGGGTGTGGGTGTGGGTGTGGGTGTGGGTGTGGGTGTGGGTGCGGGTGTGGGTGTGGGTGTGGGTATGGGTATGGGTGTGTGTGGGTGTGGGTGTAGGTGCGAGTTTTGGATTCATCTACACCCACACCCACACCCACACCCACACCCACACCCACACCCAAACTTTGTCGTCTTCGTTTTTGGCATAAATTTGAGAGTGATGAAGCTATTGGATTTATGTTGTCCATCACGTTATCAAATTTAACATATCTTGCTGTACATTTCTATAATACAAAATTTGATGAATTTGAAACGTTTTTTTAGAAAAATGTATTCAAAATTAAAAGTTTTGCGTGTTATTAGTCACTCTGAAGATATTGATTTTCTTGATGCTCATCAATGGAAACAATTCATTTTACAATATTTACCTTAATTAGAAAAATTTTATTTACAATATTTTGAACATATTAATGATGATTATAAATATGCAGTATACTCTGAAGGATTAAATCAATTCTCTTCATCATTTTGAGTCAAAAGACAATGGATATTTGATGTTGAAATTAATAATAAATAGATATTTTATTTCATTCATCCATATAGGTAGATTGAAAGGAGTCTTTTATATAAAATACATTCACATGTCTCTTATTATCCAATCTTCAACTGAGCTTTTAAGTCTAATCGATTGATCCTTATGGATATTGTTTTTCATCCATTCGATGAACTAATAAATATTAAATTCAAACGTGTTTTAACTATAGCACAAATGTATTATTTGGAAATTCCAGAAGAAGTTCTTTGTATTGGTGAATTAGTCCTGATTATAAATTCATTCATTATCATTAACTCAATTAAAATATTTATGCGAAGCAAAAGTTTATATTCATTACTCAACAAACAATAGAAATAAAATTACAAAAGTTTATCTTGATGATATCACTGAAATTGAAGAAGTTTATCTTCTTATTACACTTTGTCCATCTATAGAATATTCAAAACTAAGTTGTATTGTAGATATAGGTGATCAATTATTTGTTGAAAATATTTTGAAGAAAATTAATCAAGAATGTCATGATCATCTTCGTTTATTATGTTTTCATTTTTTAGCCGCCGATGATGAAACGATAAAAAAGTTAGAAAAAATGATTTATGTTAAAAAAACTTCTTTGTGATTTCACAATTAAATGTGTACTTGAGAATATTTATTTCGAATGGAAATGATTATAATATATGTAGAATCCATTCTTCTGTAAAAATTTAAAAAATCAAAGATCTTGTATATAAAAATATTGTTTCTTTTTCTCAGACTCACCAAGTTCGCAAATGAATAAGTTTAGAAAAAAGATATCTTTTTATAGAAGTGAATCAACTTTTTTATAACGTTGAAAAAATATAAAGAGTAGGCAATATCGTTTATCAGTTAATATTACAAAAAAAAGCATTAACATATTTCATAGTTTGAATAAAATTTAAAAATTTGATAGTTAATAAGGGTGGAGTGGGTGTGGGTGTGTGCATGGGACTCCTTTTCACACTCTAGCCCTCGTTTTCACCCACATCAACACTCCACTCACACCCACTCACATCTCACACCCATATCCATCCACACCCAATACTCACAACCATCCACATTCCACACCCGCCTACCCACACTCGTTTTAAAGACTTACTATGACTTATGCATGACTTAGTTTTACAATTTTCTACCTTGGAAAATGATTTTGTTGATGGTCTCTGGACTCTCATAGAAATTATCTTTAATATTAAGCTATATTATTTGTTTTTAATTAAGTTATATATATGTAGTATTTGATTTCGAATATACCAGATGATGACTACGTAAGCTGTAACCGAAACGCGTCATATGAAGCTTGAAATCACTCTCGTATAAACACACCCACATCCTGATTGATCTAGACTTATTCTTTGATTATGAATTTATTCAGCGATGTGGAAATCGGCGCAAAATATCGTCGAGAAAAATAAAAATTTCGTAAAAAGGAATATTAGCTTTGGGCTGGTAGTTGAGTTTATTTATGTATCTGATGTTGATTTAAATGCAATTCACAGACACTATTTCTTTTTTGCATTTTTTATCAATAGGAAGGACTTTGATGTTGCTTTAATCTTGCTTTGTAACCAAAACGATGTAAGGATGAAAATTTTCTGCTTGAGTTTTTTTTTCTTAGAAAACTGAGCAGAAACAATAGATGCTGTATTGGTTGATTCACATAGCAGAAATCACTTATGAATTGAATACTTGCTCTGTACACACACACTGTATACATTTTTTACGGCGTAGTGGTTGATTAAATACGCACAAATACTCATCTGTCTGCATGGTATAAATACATTAAGATTTTCGTTGGCAAACTGTTTTCATTCTTCATTTCGTTGGATTTGTAATTGTTTTTTTTTTAAATTATATTTTTTTGCAAAGATTAATAAGGATAGGAATCTGAACTTGAAGAATAGTCACACATTATTCTCTGCAAATAAAAATTTTATATTCTTTGTTGTTGATCATTGCAAATTTATGCGTAAAACAGCGTTCCGTGTATGATTACTATCTATCTTTCTTACAACATAAGAAACTATCAGCATTGTAAATAATGTAGTGCGCAAACATGAAAATATTTGATTAGGTAATAATAAGGACTTTTACTAATTTATTTTCAGATAATATTGTTGAAACTGTTACTTTCATCAATATTCCAATACTAATTAAAATAAACAATGGTGAATAATTCATATTGGCCAAGTTCTGAAAGCTGGAAACGTTATTGGCCGACGCGTATTATTGCCTTAATTGGTACCTTTCAAACATTGATTTCATTTGTTGTTTTGGGACTTCATGCTGCCATTGTTAGTATTGGTTTAGCTTCCCTTTGCATTAATTATCTAGCATGGTATGTTATGGGCTTTGTTTGCTGGGCGTTTTTTTTGACAAGCTGGATTTCAGTCTTCTGCGTCAGTGAGTATTTTATATTTTATTTTTTATTCTAATCATTAGACAGACATATTCAGAGCAGTAATTCTGTACATTCAACAATATGATTAAAGAGAATTATACACTAAAACAAGTTCAATTCATAATAGCTTAATATAGGCGTTTCCAGATTCTGAGAATCTTTAAAGTAGGAATTATTGATAACAACGTTAGAATTTAGTCATAAATTGAAACATTCTTAAATGACTTCAGGCATAAATCTAGAAAAGTAGTCTAAACAAAGTGTAAACATGTTTTAATTTGATACTTTAAAGCATTCTCTTACACCCGTTTATTTCTTTATCAAGATGAGAAAATTGAGGATTCAATTGAATGCATTTTTCTTTCCTAAAACTATCAAACTCGCGGTTAATTTTAGTGTGAAATAAAATTTGTAATCTTTGAATTCGTTCCTTGAGTGATCTATAACTTGATTTCGACGTTTTAGGATCTCTTAATTTGTTTCCTTTAGTTTATTTAAAATTTATTCTCTTTTAGCTTGTTGTAATCGATCATCCGTTGGTTGTGCAACACATACGATGATAGAAAACATCCTCGCATTTATCTTCTCAGCTGTACTCATTGATTTTGATCGCAAACTTAAGGATGGTCAATTAATCCCTGATGTTATACAGTGCTCCTACTACTGGTACGATATCGAAAATACGAATCGAACCAATTTGGCGAATGTCTTCCTCTCATTAACGAAGGCACAATTAGCTTGTGCAGTTCTCATATTGATATCAGCTCTTGTTTTCATTGGCATCTATATCTATGTATACATCAGAGCATTGCATGACGATAAAAACGTACGCCGTGATTTATCATATATCGATCATCGTCAACCGGTACAGCAGCAACGATCAGGATATGTATTGAAAGATTCACAATCGGTATACGAGCCACCGTCACCAAAAATAAACCAACTAGACTCAAACCGTTTCAACCCGAAACGAGTGCGTTCTGGTAATGGCTCAAGTACTATCGTTTGCCATCAATGTGGAGCAATGATAGAAGTAGTCGAACAATTTTAAAAGGCTTTGAATGTAGATTCTCTGTTAATGAATCCCCACGCCCACACCCACACCACCCACACCCAACTAGCAAACAAATAATTATTTTTTACATGAATGAAAATATTACTTTTCAATAAAATGTGAAAAAAGATTGACCATTTAGG